CCTCCGGCCTTCTGAGAGGTTTTCGGTGCTTTCAAGGAAAGCTTAGAACACTCGCTAAGCCTCCTCCTCCTTCTCCTCCTCCTCCTCCTTCTCCTTCTCCTCCTCCTCCTCCTCCTCCTCCTCCTTCTCCTCCCCCCTCACTTCTCCCTCCCTCCCTCTCTCCCTCTCTGCCTCCCTCCCCCCTCCCCTCCATTCCTCTTCTCCTCTTCGCAGGCAGCGCCCCCAGCATCAGCAGCGCGAGCTCGCAGGCGGCAGGCGCTGCGCCCCTGCCGCAGGCCATGCAGCGCGGCGCACCGAGTCTGGCAGCGCCGCGCTCCCGCATCCGCCCTGGGGAAGGGGGGGAGGGAGGGGGGGTGCGGCAGCGGCGGGGGGGGGGGAGGAGGATTGTGCTGGATCGCGCTACTTAGGTCTGAAACCTGATGGAAGGCACAGGGCCCGACTGCTTCGCCGTGCGCAAGTCTGTACTCACATGGGCTCCTGGTGAACGGCCGCAACCCCATAACGAATCAGTCTACCCAGCGCGACATGGGCAAAACTTCGGCGGGGTGCGACCAGTGGTCGGCGAAAGAGCTCGGCTTCCTCCCTGACGAGGCGCTCGAGGAGCTGCTGGCGCTATGCCTCCAGTGTGAGCAGGATGCACGCTGGCCCCGGCAGTTGCGGAAGTGGCGGCAATGCAGCATCCCGAAGGAGGCGGGAGGCATGATCTTGGGCAAGATCCGGCCGGCCGATCGCAATTGCATCCACCATCATCCGCGCCTTCCACAAGTTTAGAGCAAGTCAGGTCTCCACATACTTGGAGCCCATGTTCCCCAAGAGCCAGGCGGGAGGCATGAAAGGAAGACACCTTGAGAGCCTGCTCGCCCCGATTCTGGAGAGGATTGAGGCGACCACCATGCTGCAGGAGGCGAAAGAACTACAACAGGACGAGGCAGAGGAACAGGAGCTGGACAACGAGTGTTTCCGGGCAGCTTGGGCGGAATGCCACGTCAGGACATGGGACTACAAGGCGGCCTTCGACAGGGTGCATCCGAAACTTGTGGAGAGACTTTGGAAAGAATTGGGCGTCCCAGCGTGGCTCGTTGAGTCGGTTGTGGGGCTCTGGCAGTGTCAAGAAAGATATGTGGAACTGGGAGGGTTCGTGTGCCCGGACCCTGTGTGCACGGTGCATTCGATCCCCCAGGGGGACCCACTCAGCATGCTCGCTATGGCCACGGTGCTGTGCGCTCCCACGCTCCGTGCTGCCACTGCAGCGCCGGGCTCGGTTCTCTCGGTGTACGCCGACGACAGGGCTGCCGCCGCCAGGACAGCAGAGGGGATCCAGAGGATTGAGAGCGTGTGGGCGCGCCTGGAGGAGCTCACTTCGATGCGGTCGAACACGGACAAGCAGGATGACTTCGTCGTTCGCTCGGCGCGGCCGCGCGGTCAGCAGAGGAAGAAGCAGAGGGCCGAGACGCTGGGGAGGACAGAGGAGAAAGGCAGAGCGCAGGTCAAGCTCCTGGGCGTCGACATCCTGCTCGGCAAGGGCACCGTACTGTCGGAGCGCGAGCAGGGCAAGATCGAGGAGTTGCGGCGGCGTGCCGCGAGAGTGCGCAAACTGGGGCTACCGTGCCAGAAGCGGCACGTCCTGGTGACTTCGAGCTGCGTGCCGGCGCTGACGTGGTCCTTCGTGGTTCGCTGGGCGCCGAAGGGAAAGCATCGTGAGCTAAGCCAGAGTGTCAGGAATGCGATCAAAGCTTCTCAGTGGGGTTTTGCGTCACCCCATTTCTCGGATCTGGTACTTTGTCGTCATCGTTCCAGCCCCCTGCTGATGATGACGCAACGAGTTTGGAGGATGGTGGAAAAGTACAGGGAGCTCGTCGGCGAGCAGCGCCTCTCGCAGATGTTCCTGGCCAGGCAGGGCCTCAGCCTGCAGTGCGCTGGGATGACGGGCGTGTGCCTGCATAACATGGAGGCTCTGTAGTGGGCCGCCGTGCAGAACGAGGACGACACCTTGGTCTTCAAGAGCGCTGAATCCAACTTTGGCAGGGAGTTCGGCGTGGCGGCGGACATCGGGACGCGCGAGTACCTCCTGCGGGAAGCGTGGCGGCGCGGGCTCTGGGCCGCCTTCTTGGGGGCCAAGAGGAGAGACAGCAGCATGGCACGTCAAGCAGTGGCGCGGTACTGCCACAGAGCCAACAAGGCTGCGAACGACCTGATAGCAGAGAAGGGCGGCGCGGGTTTTGCGTGCATCTTGACTGGTGACTACTGGTCCGACCTCCGCCTGGCGAAGGCCAAGGGACAACCGGAGCGGCCCTGTTCGCGGTGCAACACGGGCGCGCTTCCGAGTGCTGATCATGATTTCTGGGCCTGCCCGCTCTGGCGCCCATGGCGGGTAGGGCTTGAGGTGCCGCGAGATCCATTCACCCGCCGGACTGGGTGGCCAGTACAGCCCCTACGAAATGAGGCGGAGACGGACGAGCTCAAGCGCAGGATGGCCTTCATGGCGTCGGTGCGGGCGGCGGTGTCCAAGGCTCGCCACCAGGATGCCGGCCAGCAGCAGGGACAGCACCGAGACGCCTTGCGCAGCCTGGGAGGCGACCCCGGGGCCAGCCAGTGGCGCACGCGGCCCAGGCTGAGCGGCGACGCAGAGGAGAGGCAGCAGCAGCACGCCAGCACCGGCGGCAGCGGAGAGGCGCAGCAGCCACAGCAGCGGCAGCGCGGCGCACAGCGCCGCCCCAGCGGCAGCCCAGGCGGCAGCTGGAGAAGGAGGGTGAGGAGACGGCGGGGAAGGAGCGGCAGCAGCAGCTGCAGCAACAGCGCCACCACCGCGGACGAGCACCAGCAGAAGCAACAGCGCGGCGCCAGGCGCCGCCCAAGCCTCCGCGGAGACCCCTCGGGCGGCGAGAGGAGGAAGAGGCGACGTCTGAGGGGAGAAGAAGAAGACGAAAGAGCGGAGGAAGAGGTAGAGATAGAGGAGGAAGAAACGTCAGCTGAGGAGGAGGAGGAGGGTGAGGAGGAGAAAGATATGTCAGCAGAGGAAGCAGGGAGGGAGGAGGAGGAAGGCATGTAAAGCGCAGGTGGGGCATGACCCACCATTGTCTTCGGCATTCACATGTCGCCTTTTCGTCGGCTTGCTGATGAAGGAGGAGGAGATCTTCCTGGTCTTCTATGTGTTTTCTTTTTTCTTTCACAATACCGTCCATTTACACTGATCGTTAGAAAAGCTCGGCTTGAAACGCGGCTGACACGCCTGACAGTCCTTGCTGTCATTGCCTGTCTTCCCCTTCTCGCACGAGTTGACTCCAGCGTTGTAGCTAAGAGGTGGATGCTCGAGACTCTGGCTCCAGCTTACTTCCACTATGTGGCAGTAGTATCTGAGCCGGCCAGCTTTCGTCCGCGCCCAGCCGCAGCCACGATGGAGGGGATCGCCATCGGGCTCTACATTCACCCCCCGCTTCTCGTAGCCGTTTTCTCGCAGCGTCAGCGTCCGCTGCTACTGAATGCCCCCTTCCTCTCACGGGCTGCCCCCGGCGCTGCTGATCGTGACCCGCCCGCACTGTTGGACTCCGTCTTCGCCTCCAGCTTCTCCACGCTCGCCGGATGTAGTTGATGACATCGGGCTCGTCTTTCGACTTGCCTGCCCACGTCGGGCGCCGACTCCTCCTCCAGCATCTGGCGACCTGCCGGGTGTAGCTGATGGCATCGGGCTCGACCTTCGCCACGCATGCCCTGACCCAAGCACTGTAGCTGATGCCGTCAGGCTCGTCCTTCGCCTGTCGAGCTCCAGACTGTCCCCGCAGCGCCAGCCTGTGCTGCCACTGCGCGCCCCCTTTCTCGCACAGACTGCACCCAGCGTTGTAGTTGATCGTGGCCCACCCTCACGTTTCGCTCAGCGCCAGCGTTGGCTGCCACTGCGCACCCCCTTTCTCGCACGGACTGCTCCCAATGTTGTAGCTGATCGTGGCCCACCCGCATTGTCCTCGCAGTGCCAGCTTCGGCTGCCACTGCGCGCCCCCTTTCTCGCACGGGCTGCCCCCAGCGTTGTTACTGATCATGGCCCACCTGCACTCCCCTTGCAGTGCCAGCATCTGCCGCCACTGCCTGCCTCTAACCTCTCGCAATCCAGCCAGAGCCTGCTGCCACTGGTCGCCCCTCCCGCATGCGCTGATTCCAACACTGTAGCTGAGGACGTCGGTCTGTATTCCGACTCGCCCGCTCGCAGAGTCGGGCCAAAGTTTGTTGCCATTTTTCGCACTTTTCGCACACGCTGGTTCCAGCACTGTAGCTGATGAAGGCGTCGGGCCCGCTGCGCTTTGATGCCAGTGTGCTGACAGGCATCACCGGTGCTCGCCAGGAGGAGGGGGAGGAGGAGGAGGAGGAGCGAGAAGAGAGGACGAAAGGAGGGGAAGACATCCTGGCGCCCCTGCATGCGCCATTTCACGGCTACACCACGGCTGGCGCAGCCGCTTCTTGACGGCAACATGATTTTTGATGGCGGGCGGTTCCCCGAAGCCTCGCCGCTCCGAATTTTGTTTCGGGAACGCCCAGGCAGGCTCACGCCGGGAGGGGCCGCTCGGGCGCGGAACGGCTGCTTGAGCCAAAGGGGGGGAGGAGGAGAAGGAGGAGGAGGAGAAGGAAGAGGAGGAGGAACAAGAAGAAGAAAAAGAAAAGGAGGAGGAGGAGAAGGAGGAGGAGGAGGAGAAGGAGGAGGAGGATGAGGAGGAGGACGAGGGGGAAGGGGAGGACCAGTACATTGGCAGATGTTGCTGCCGCCTTGCCCTCTCGGGGCGATCGCAGAGTCTGTTTGGGCGCCACGGGTGGAGTTTCGTCTCCTTCGCCGTCGCTTGTTCTGTGGTCGTCACCTCTATGGCACACAACTGAGGCGACTAGGTTGTGGCTACACACTTGGGATCATCCCAGTCCTGTTTGTCGGCCCTCGCACGTGCGCGAGAGGTCCTGACATGTTCGAGCGTGTCTCCGCCCGCGCTTGCCGCCGCCGCCCTCGGTGGTTCCCCGCCTCTCTCGGGTGGCGAGCTTAGTGCGCAGCCCGATCACGCCTGGTCGTCATGTCTCTCTTCCTGCTCTGCGTGCAGTTGCTAGCCGTATCCGTGGCGCACGTGCGACGGTCTGGCGCTGATTGCGCCCTGCGCTTGCACTGTTTTTCCCAGCCGATGCGCACTACTGCCGCACTTTTTGTGTTGTCACCCCGTTTGTCGCCATCGGTCCGCTGGACGGGGCATCAACCTTCTCTTCTGCCTTCTCATTCTCATCCTTCTCCCTGTTCTGCTGTTGGGCACCACTGTTTCGGGGCACCGCCTGCAATGGCCAGCGGGGCCCGGCCTTCCGGAAGCCAAGCTGGGGTTGGGGAGCCCCGTAGACGGTGAATGGGCCTGGGGCGCTGGGAGGGGGGAAGCGCTGCAAATGTCGGCGGCGCGCTCAGGGGGAGCGGGGCCTTCGCAAAAGGCTCAGACAGCCTCCGGCCTGCTGAGAAGCGATCTGAGCCTTTTCCGAAGCCGCGCCGCCTTCTGAGGCTTGCCCCCTCGGCGCGCCGCTGGGTTCTTATTGAAATGGCCTCCGGCCAGTGCCGCCGATCCTGGGCGCTTCGGATGATGATGATGATGACGATGATGATGATGCTGATGATGATGATGATGATGATGATGATGGTGGTGATGATGATGATGACGATGTCGACGACGACGACGATGACGATGACGATGACGATGACGATGATGATGATGATGATGATGCTGATGATGATGACGATGATGCTGATGATGCTGCTTATGATGATGATGATGATGATAATGATGATGATTATGATGACGACGATGATGATGATGATGATGATGATGATGGTGATGGTGGTGGTGGTGTTGGTGGTGGCGATGCTGATGATGATGATGATGCTGATGTTGATGATGCTGATGACGATGATGCTGCGGATGATGATGATGATGAGGAGGAGGAGGAGGAGGATGATGATGATTTTGATCATGGCACTGACCATGATGTCGATCATGATGATGGGGATGCTGATGCTGATGCTGATGCTGATGATGATGCTGGTGATGGTGATGGTGGTTGTAATGGTGATTAAGATGTGGCGCCCTTTTGGGGCCTCTTGGGGGCGTCTTGGGGCCAGCCTTTTTGAGGGCCCCTTGAGCCGTTTTGGACACTGGGGGGTCCTTGGGGGCCAGTTGGGGCCTTTTAGGGCCTCTTGGGGGCGTCTTGGGGCCTCCTGGGGGCCTCCTGGGCCGTCTTGGGCCATTCTTGGGCGGTCTTGGAGCCCTTTTGGGCGCCTCTTGGGCCCGTCCTGGAGCCATGTTGCGCCGTCTTGGGGGCCTCCTGGGCCTGCGTGAGCCCTTCTTAGGCCGTCTTGGAGCCTTTTTGAGGGCCCCTTGAGCCGATTTGGACACTGTGAAGGCCCAAGAGGCGAACATGCTAAAAATGCACGTTTTCCTAAGGTTCTAGGGCTCTAAGGGGAAGGGGGCCAGCTTACATTACACCCTCCAGCTCCCTACGTTGCATGCTGCCGATGAAGAGGGAAAGCGCAGACTCCGTGACAGCCATCACGGTGCCCGATCTCTGCAGCCGAGCCACAACTATACAAGGGGCGTGCACATCAAACGTGGCGAAGCCTCAGCTATATACCGGCCGTGTGACAAACGAGGCGAAGCCTCAATATTAGTACACGTACGCATCCATCTTTTCAAAGGTCGCTGAAGCGGGGCCGACAGGCCCGTAAAGAGCTGTGTGCACGTGTCTGGATGCTGACGCGGCATCCTGCACGGGCTGCTGTGTGCACGTGTCTGGATGCTGACGCGGCATCTGCTGACGCGGCATCCTGCACGGGCCGCTGCAAACCCAGGGCCCTGCACAGAAAAAACACCACGTGTAGAAGATAGTATCCATAACTGCAAGGTGGAGGGGTGGGAGGAGGAGCCCAAAAAGCTACAAGCCAAGATCGTAAACGGAGACTAAACGTGACGATCAAGAGAGGAGGAGGAGAGGAAGCGGCCACCCCATAAATACACCCCTATAAAATCGAGCCCGAGAAAGAATGTTTGAAAACTCATATTCTAGGGCTCTAAGGGGAAGGGGGCCAGCTTACATTACACCCTCCAGCTCCCTGCGTTGCATGCTGCCGATGAAGAGGGAAAGCGCAGACTCCGTGACAGCCATCACGGTGCCCGATCTCTGCAGCCGAGCCACAACTATACAAGGGGCGTGCACATCAAACGTGGCGAAGCCTCAGCTATATACCGGCCGTGTGACAAACGAGGCGAAGCCTCAATATTAGTACACGTACGCATTCATCTTTTCAAAGGTCGCTGAAGCGGGGCCGACAGGCCCGTAAAGAGCTGTGTGCACGTGTCTGGATGCTGACGCGGCATCCTGCACGGGCCGCTGCAAACCCAGGGCCCTGCACAGAAAAAACACCAGCCCTGGAGAGAACGCATTTCTCGGGTCTGGCGTCCAGCCGCCTCACTTGGACCTCTGTCTCCTCTTCTGGCGCTT